AATTGGTTTCTTGAACATGACAATGAGTTCACTATACTAAAATGGCCCCCACAGTCACCAGATCTCAACCCAATAGAGCATCTTTGGGATGTGGTGGAACGGGAGCTTCGTGCCCTGGATGTGCATCCCACAAATCTCCATCAACTGCAAGATGCTATCCTATCAATATGGGCCAACATTTCTAAAGAATGCTTTCAGCACCTTGTTGAATCAATGCCACGTAGAATTAAGGCAGTTCTGAAGGCGAAAGGGGGTCAAACACAGTATTAGTATGGTGTTCCTAATAATCCGGTGAGTGTATCATCTGTGGAAGGCATAGGAGCATAAAATGTTCGTCTAATCATTGCATTCGGTCTGTCTTCAATGACAGAATGGTTCCACCTAACTGTCAGCGTATGTATTTCCATACCTCCGTGCACCTGCTCGCGGAGATATCACACATCATCACCGTGTTTCATGCTATGCTATAACACACTTTTCGGTCATATCACAGTGTCCCCCGGAACGCGCAGAGCCTAAGCAAATCCAAAACAATGTTTTTCTGCAAAATGATTTTTTTGATTTTTTTAACAAAGGGCAAAAGCAGCCATATCACCCTGTGGCCCACTGAAGCTAAGTAGGGTTGAGCCTGGTCAGTACCACGATGGGAAACGTCCTGGGAAAACCAGGTTGCTGCTGGAAGAGGTGTTAGTGAGGCCAGAAGGGGGTACGGCTCACCCTGTGGTCTATTTGGGTCCTAACGCCCCAGTATTAGTGACAGGGACACTACTGTAACAAGCACCGTCCTTCGGATGAGATGTTAAACTAAGGTCCTGACTCTCTGGTCATTAAAAATCACAGGATGTCCTTCAAAAAAAAAAAAAAACTTTAGCGCGGTCATCCTCCTCCTAATCATCCCCATGTACTGATTGGCTCTATCACTCTGTCTCCTGTCCACCAATAAGCTGGTGTGTGGTAGGCGTTCTGGCCTAGCATGGCTGGTGATGCTGCACATTAGTGGCGGTTTCGGAGATGTCCCCTTACATTTGTAAAGCGATTTGAGTACCCAGGAAAGCTCTATATAAAAGTAAAAAAATATATATTATTATTAAAAGTTACATAGTGTACCTTTAAAACCAAAGATGTTTATCAGTGATCAGTGTATATCAAGAGTAAGGACAAGTTTGTGGCATTTTGTTTTGTAATTTCACCAGAATGAAAAGAGCATCTGCTCCTCAACTGGTTTAGTTTGTATTAGATACATCTGTACCACAAGACGTTTCAAAATTAAAAATGTATTTAATTTTGATTGATTTGAATTCAATTTAATTATAAAAACCATTTAAATCCCACATGTAAAAGCTCTTATTCGGTATGAATTACAGGAAGATGTACACCATATTCCACTCTTCTGTGAATGAATGCCCACATTAAAGCAGACCAAACCACATCTCTGCAGGTTTCAGTCTGACTAAGATGAGCTGCTAGTGTCACATTGCGAGAATGTTTCACACGCTTGCTTTGTTCTGTTTGTGCTGGTGCCATCTGACAGGTAAGTTATAAATGTTTATATTTTTTGCTAAATATGCAGTGACATTCTTCATGTAACCCCTCCACCCGGGTCGTACTCGCCCCGCTCCGTGCGGGCCTCACACCTGGGTTTCCAGCGTGAAAGTCAGCTGCTCTAACAAGGAGGCTAAAGACTGCAGCCTCTAGCATATGTCGCTAGAGCGCCTATTGAGTTTAGAGGAGTGAGGTTTATTCGCACATGCAGTGACTACTAGCTGGCCTCAGTTACACTCACAGATGATATAAGTATTGCTAAAAGTCTTGCTACTTGCTACAGTGACTTCAGCCAATGGAGACTCAAAGCAAATCTTCCAATAAGCCACATTTTTGTGGGTTTTAAATGTTAAATATCCAGAAAAACTCAACTTTCCATGTTGTACTTACACCATTAATATAACATTCATATATCTCACCTTTCTTTAGTAAGTTAGTAACAAAGTACAGCTGATTTCATGCTTTGTAAACCATCAGGAGCGTTAATCTGTGTAAAATCTGTTTGTTCATCAGGTGTGTTTGGTGATTCAGTGTCAGTCATGGAGGGAGATTCTGTTACTCTAAACACTGATGTTACTGAAATACGTGAAGACGACTACATAATGTGGACATTTGGAGCTGAAAAGGCTCTCAGCTAAAATGAAGAAAAAAAAAATCTTCTCCACATATGATGATGTTCCTGATGGGAGATTCACAGACAGACTGAAACTGGACGATCAAACTGGATCACTGACCATCACAAACACCACAACTGAACATACTGGAGTTTATCAACTAAAAATAAATGGACTGAAAATGACATCAAAAATATTCAATGTTCTGTAAATAGTGCGTAGAGATCATTTGTCCAGCCCCTTTAAATATTCTTGTTTTTTTAAAAGGTATATTCAGTACAAATTATGTTCAATCAACAGCATTTGTGGGGTAATGTTGATTACCAAAAATATTAACATAAATATTTCCTTACTTTTTTTATTAAGCAAGACTCGAGGTTAAGCGCTTGCGTCAACACAAATTTTAGACGGCAGACTTTAGCATACTTGTTAGATCGCCCGCTTCCTGTGCGGATAGGCCCAGTTTTGAGTCCTAGAGCGGGGCAGTTTGAACGAGAGGGGCTAAACCTACAGTGGAACAGTGGACTTGATTAAAGCATTATGGCAGTTAGTTGTTATTAATTTTGAGATATTAGCAACACATTTTAGCCTTTGCTGATGAAACAAAAGCCCTTTCAACTTGTAACAGTCTTGACCTGTCACAAGTTCCCCTTTGGTATGTAAAGCTGCTACCTGACACTAGGGGGAGGTAGTGTGCTTATTGCTCTAGGATGTAAGGTAATGTTAGATTTGGATATTAGTAAGGTAATGAAGATTTGTTTGAGGCTAACAGCATGATGGATGGTGCCTGGAGTCCAGACTGGGAATCTATGGGATTTTATGCTCAGTCAATGTAAGATGTTGGCGTTTTTTTATGTTTTATTCATGGTTATTTGTGGCCTGTGTTGATTCACGTATGGTATGATGTTGATTTTTGTTTGCTTGTGGACTCTTTAGTCCTTCCTGATAATATCCAGGAGGATTAATCATCAACAATAGTGTTTAACCCCAGGACACCTTCCTTCTACCCTCATTGTTATCCTCTGGGTCGATGTACAAGGAGAAAAGTCTGGTTACGCGCATGATTTGACTGATTAGATCGGCCTGATTCAGGCCACTTCGTCACAAGACTTTTGTGCACTTGAGAACAGCAGAAAGGACTTAGTCATTTCTGTCTATCCAGACAAGATAGATTCTGTACATAGTGTTGTTGATGTGCTTGTCTCCTTCTCGTCGGGAACCTGGGTGTGCTCTTTGATACCAATCTTACATTTGAAAGTTGCGTGTCTGTCTAGTATCTGTAAAACTGCATTTTTTTTATCTTAAAAATATATCTAAATTGCGTCATATTCTCTCAATGAAAAATTCAGAACAATTGGTTCATGACATCAAAAGGCTAGATTATTGTAATGCTCTAATGGGTGGTTGCCCTGCACGCTTAATAAACAAACTACAGCTGGTCCAAAACACAGCAGCTCGAGTTCTTACCAGAACCAGGAAATATGACCATATTAGCCCGGTTCTGTCAACACTGCATTGGCTGCCTATTAAACATCGTATACATTTCAAAATTTTGCTGATTACTTACAAAGCACTAAATGGTTTAGCTCCGCGGTACTTGAGCGAGCTCTTAACGCATTATAGTCCTTCACGTCTATTGCAATCTCAAAATTCTGGCCAGTTGATAATACCTAGAATATCAAAATCGACTGCTGGCGGTAGACCCTTTTCCTACTTAGCACCAAAACTTTGGAACAATCTTCCTAACATTGTCCGGGAAGCAGACACACTCTGTCAGTTCAAAGCTAGACTAAAAACACATCTCTTTGACCTAGCATACACATAACACACTATAGACTTCTTAAATTCAAAATTAGGCTGCATAGTTTAGATCAGCCGGAACCGGGAACACGTCCCGTAAATCCTGATGTACTTGTTACATTATAAGAAGGATGGCGTCTACGCTAATATTAGTCTCTCTGTTTATCCGGAGGTTTCCCGCAGTCCTCCGGATCCTCATTCTTTTGCGAATTATACTCACTCTTGCATCTTACTGAGTATTTAGACTATCACTCCCTAATATAAACCTTGTGGCAATTAGTGTGGGTTTGAATACTAGACAAAGTGTTACAAACTGCTTAAAATTAACTAAGTTTTATTGATTTCCATGCACTTTCTAACTTCCTGCACTCTCCTTAAATTACAAATATCCCCATTCACCCAAGGTACTTGATGAATAGGGCAAATGGAAATATTTTTTGTGGTAATCAACATTATTCCACAAATGCTGTAAATTGAGATTAACTGGTGCTGAAACCAGAATATTACTGCTTACCATTTACTTATTGAAATGTTTAATCATTTTGTAGTTTGAGATGATAAAAACACCATCATCACACCAAACACTCAATCAACACATTGAGCCGAAAATATGATTTTGTGGACTAGATCTATCCAGATTTTAATCTCTCATGTTTTCCAGCTCTTGCCTGTTCCTGTCATCATCAGTAACTCTTTAAACTGTTCATCATCATCATCAAATTGTTCAGTGGTGTGTTCATCAGTGTTGAGTGTGTGTGATGCGACTCTCTCCTGGTACGCAGGAATGAGTGTATTGTCCAGCATCAGTGTGTGTGATCTCAGCATCAGTCTCTCTCTACCTCTGGAGGTGGAATATCAGGATAAAAACACCTACAGCTGTGTGCTGAACAATCCCATCAGCAACCAGACCACACATCTGGACATCAACACACTCTGTCACACATGTGCAGGTACACAACACTGATGATATATGTGTGTGTTTACTGACCTGATCTCTGTCTTCTGGTGTAGATCAGACTGATGCATTCACTTCTTTCTTCATCATTACACAGACACACACTCTTCTCCTCCAGTCTCAGTGTCTATGATAGTGTTGATCTCTGCTGGATCTCTGATGATTGTTGTTGCACTCATTGGGATCGTCTGCATCTGCAGGAAATGTAGAAAAACAGGTCAGGAGAGTAACCAATTAATGCATAAGGCACAATATTTCGATATAGGATTAAAAATACGTTGTTGTTTTAACATACTGTATCTGTGATTATTGTTAATGCAGTTCAGACTCAGGAGGAAGACCGGCCTTGACTCATAGTTCACATTAATTCTCTGCCTGGATGTTTTAACTTTAGTTTCATGCTTTTTTCACTCACATGTGTTTTTATTGTCTGAAATTGTGTTGTTCTGTGTTAGTTTAATTTAGTGGTTTCGAATAGCATTGCATCCAGAAACTCATCTAAAATATCTATTTATAAGTTAATGCACATGGAAATTCACTTTTGACTCAAATTATTTTTTTGTCAATAATATTATTTATGAAACTACATTCTTTATTATTGTGTTACATTCTGTAGCTAGCTTTGTACCGTGTATGTTATATATTGTATATTCATTTATTAATTTATGTTGGCCTAAAGTGCACTGTCTGGAGTGTGCCCAACTATGGAATGACAAAGCTGACATAATATTAAAGAAATACATTCACGAAGAAATAAATTTTAAAAATCTATTAAGAAATGTAAAAAAATAAAAGTGTTTATACTTTTATTTCCTTATTTGTATAATTGTATTTTTTTCCACATTTATTTATTGTCACATTTATTTATGCATACTGTATTTATGTCTACATTTGAATGTTTTTGAGGTGGTGGAAGAAAGTAGGCCCATCTAACCCAACTGTATCTCTTGTCTGTACACTGCCATAATCCACGTGTATCCGACTGTCACTTACTACAAGTTGTGCCCCATAAAAACAGCCAAGCTTCGCTGATGTCTTCCCTATAGTACGTCGCCAGTTCTGTCACCTTATTTTCATCCAAATGAATAAAAAAAAGTCCCATTTCAAAATGCTGTAAAAAAAGCCATCTACAGTATGTGATCATTTTATTGTATAACATAATATGATATACTAGAAATCACACGAGAAGAGTGTTTATCCGAATTTTTTTTTTTTTTGCAAAACGTCATTATGTACTATATACTCCATGTCCCACTTTGTAAAAAAAAATTATAACTATCTCGTGGCCTCAAGATACTAACTCGTGGCGTGGCCTCAAGATAGTAACTCGTGGCCTCAAGATAACTCGTAGCCTCAAGATAGTAACTCGTGGCCTCAAGATAGTAACTCGTGGCGTGGCCTCAAGATAGTAACTCGTAGCCTCAAGATAGTAACTCGTGGCCTCAAGATAGTAACTCGTGGCCTCAAGAAACACCGCCTCAAGATAGTGACTCGTGGCCTCAAGATAATATCTCCTCAAGATAGTAACTCTTGGCCTCAAGATAGTATCTCCTCAAGATAGTAACTTGTGGCTTCAAGATAACTCGTGGCCTCAAGAAAGTAACTTGTGGCCTCAAGATAGTAACTCGTGGCCTCAAGAAAGTACCTTGTGGCCTCAAGATAGTAAAGTTTCTGACACACGGATCCTTTGTTATTGGTATACCCTACATTTTCGTAGTTTTGAATGTAAGAAAAGCATGTGTCTGTGTAGCCTACAAAAAAAACGTCAGCAGAGGGCGTTCTAGGCTTAGGTCACGGTGAATTACATTGAATTAGCCTGGTTAACTTATATGCTAATCGCTAATGCTTCCAGCTCGAACACCTAGTTAGTCTTGTCAGTAATTTATTGGTCTCGCCCAGAACAACAGAAGATAAAGGAAGATTACAAAGGCACCATCTTCCCTACAGGTTTCCAAATCAAAACAGAAAAGAGTTAACAAATTAAACCATCAGCAAATGGTAGTTATACCTAAAACAGATTTTGGTTTGTTGAACATTCCTGTACTTTTAGTTCATAAAAAGCAACAGTCTGCAAACTGTTTGGGACAGAAGACAATGAGTCCACATGTCTCTGCTTGCTGAGATTCTTTAACTGGTTTTATGTGATCAATATCTAGAGCAGCAGCACAAAGAAAAACTGAACAGTAGAGAGAGAACAGAGAAAAACAAACTCAGTCCATCGATTATGACATTACAAGACGTAACAACCATAATAAAGTTGCTAGTGAAAGTAGTGCATCAGTGATGAAATTCCTATAACTTATGATTCAATATTAGCTTAGATATTTCTGAAAACAAACATATTTTGAAGACACACAGATTCCAGATATTATGAATGAATCATATGTTTTTAATCATTTATCACATAAACATACAAAGATTTTTCACGTTCATTTCCTTGTTTCAGAATAGAAAATCAAGATTACTAACAAAGAACAAAGGCATACCGCAAGTCTAGACTGGAAAAACAGTAGTGAAGGCAATCGTCTCCATCAAACAGTGATAATTTTCAACAATCTTCTTGACAATCACAGCTCAATAGAACTAAAAAAGACACGAGGTGGAGAAAAAGTTAAATAACACGACAGGACAGAATCACAGTAACAGCTTTAATAAACCTCTATATGAAACATCTACTGCTGGAAACTGTTGCTCTGTTTCTTAATTTATTACTCATATGCTGTTCAAGGCTAAATGTGTTAATTTATCATTGAAATAATTTAATATATTCTAACAGTTTTGGATGTCATATTTTAAATGACATTTAACAAAGTTCAGGAGGAGCATGTTCAGATAATTTATACGAGAGGAGAGCATTCAGTTAATCAACGATAGGTGTAGGTGTATATATACATACCTGTACATGTTCATTATCAGAATCCCTCCACCACCCCTTCTCTACACTTCTAGCTCTAACTATTACAGCCACCGGGGAAATACTCTGCGTACGGGCCAAATCAGGGCCTCCTGAAATCGTGGAATCGTGATGCAATTACTGTCAGTGATGAGAGTTTCAGCGGATCCTTGTCTCTCCGTCATTTCCTAAGTATCCTGTGAATACAGAATCACAGAAGGTTACTGTTATGTTTGGTTGAAGCAGTCTTTTATTAAAGAAACTCAAAACTTCACAAATACAAACTCAGACTAAGACTGGTACTAGGGTCTAGGGTCTAGAACTAGGGTCATCAAGGCATAGCTATTAGGGCTCATCTACTTAGGAGGGCAGGTGTAATCAGACACAGGTGTTGCCAGAGGGGAAAAGGCCAACTAGTTTTTGACCACCACCGAGGCTGTGGCTGTATGTTTGATATTGTGTAGATGAAGATGGAATATTGTTCCGTTATGGATAATGAAGACCTTGTGTAACAATAAATCATATATCTCACGACAGAAAATAAATCAGAACTTAAACTCCTGTTACATTATTTGTGACCCTGACAAAGCGTGCCTCACAAACCCTGACAAAGCGTGCCTCCGCTGCTTTAAGCTTAGCGGTTACAGGAGGAACAAGACTCGGGAACGGAAGAACCACAATAGTGCAATGATAAGAACTGACCAAGACACATGACTGACCAGGATCACATGACAACCAAGAAATAATGTTAGCAAGACACAAAACATGACAATGACAAGAAACAAAACCCAAAACGTGACAGTTACAGTGATGAGAAGGACTGGTGTTTCAGTTACACAAACACAAACTGTACAAACTGTTTATTTGGGAGTTATTAGTGTTTTTGATTGTTTTGACTGTTTCACTGGTGAATATCTGCTTCTATGCTGTTAAAAATAAAAGTAAAGAGCAAAAAAAGATAACATCCAGAAAAAAAAAAACTTTGTTTTTGCACATTAAATCTCATATATCTTGTTAAATAATCAGCTGTATGTAATACTTACACTCTGTGGTACTGCTATATGTCTCTGTCTGCGACGGTAGTAAATCACACCAGCAGCAACAACAACAACAAACACCAGCAGAACAACCGCAACTATTCCTGCTCCAGCTCCTGAAGACCGACCTGAATCTGGAACATCTACAGAGAAACAGACATTATTGTGAATGATAATGCATCCAGGAATTTTTTTTTATTTATTTATTTTTTTACTTTAGACCCTTCTATATTGATCATCAGCTGTATCAAAAGGAAACAGCAGCGTTCACTGGAAAACTAATAATATGCATTTTTTTAAGTTATCAAGTTAATAACATTAGTCAAACTGTTTTTGGGCAAAACTAAAAAAAAAAACATCAACTCAACAGTTGATTTAAAAAATATTGAACTGTTTTTTGTATTACTCAAAAAGGAAATGCATTGAACGATTAAGTGATCTACTCACCAATGACAGTAAGATTGAATCTCTTCACTCTAGTGATGCTGAAGCTGCTGTTGATGAAGATCATCAGTAGTTTATATTCTCCAGAGTCTGTGTTTCTGGTGTGTGTGATGGTCAGAGATCCAGTCTGATGATCCAGCTTCAGTCTGTCTCTGAATCTCTCATTATCTTCATTACACTGAACATCTGTACAGATATCACTGAGATTTCCAGTGATTTCAGTGATGTGAGTGTCATTAAAATACCACAGCATCACATCATTTGGTTTTCTTGCTACAGGAGGATCAAAAGAAACAGATTCTCCCTCGTTTCTCTTCACTTCATCTATTTCAGCAGCAGAAACACCTGAAACACAAACCAACAGATGCTGGAGGATCTTTTGCTGAAAACAAACAAAAACTGCACAACATGAGAGAACTGTGAACATGACTTTGCATAAGTCCTTTCTTGAATCTCGATCTGAAAAGAAACATTTTGGTCTGTGCCTATAAACACACATTAACAATGTGCTTTAAAAATATATAATCTGCATTTAAACGTTATTAAATGACTCACCTTGGACATTAACATTGAAGATCGTTTCACTGTCGCCGCTGCTGAAGATCTGTAGTGTATATTCTCCAGAGTCTGTGTTTGTGATGTTTGTGATGGTCAGAGATCCAGTCTGATGATCCAGCTTCAGTCTGTCTCTGAATATCTCATTATCTTCATTACACTTAACATCTGTACAGGTCTTATTAAGATCTCCATTGATTTGAGCGATGCAAATGTCATTATAATACCATCTAATATCTACTTGTTGGTTTGTTTGAACACCAGTGTTTAGAGTGACTGAATCTCCCTCCATCACTGACACTCTGTCAGTATCAACACCAGAAGCTCCTGAAGAAAAACAGTTAACATAAGAAAAACAAAACTATGCAACTATTATTTTCTAACGTATCATACAGATTATGAGCAGAGAAATATGTCTGGATTTGTAATGTAATGGAAACAGCAGAAAAACATTGATTCACACTTTCACTCATCAGACAAACATACGAGTCTCATGTATGATCTTATACACACGTCCAATACTCATTTTCATAGACTCATAATGTATATTAGATAAATAGTACCCTTACAAAAATTTCAGAAAATTATGCTATTTTCCACAGCATCAAGACTCACAATAAAGAGCCTTTCTTCAAAATATTTTTAGTTCTCCCCGTAAATAACATGTTTAGTCATGTGACTACATAATAAATGAATACTCAAAAACTCCTGCTGTTGGAAAGTCCTCAATCGACAACCACACTGGGGAAGAAGGAACTTTTTATCAGTCGATTCATCGTCCACATCAACCACAGCCTGACTATCCAGCAAACACACAAAGAGAGCACACACAAAAACAAGACGAATGCCTCTGGGCAACAGGAAAGCACAAACGAGGAAACAGAAGCTAGTCAGGACTGTAACACATACTGGTTGTCACTGACAACTTTACCAGGTGTGCTCAAGCATATGCAAACAAGAACAATAACAATAACAATAGAAACAATGAATTCCATGCTTTGGATACTTTTGCACTGAACTCAGAAGAAACAGTTCTGATTAGATATGCTGATAAATATGCTGCAAGAATGAAAGAATAATAAGGAATTGCAAGTGAAGACAACAAATCTAGCAATAAGGGAAAACATGATCATCAGTAAATAGAAATATTTTTAAAGTTTTTTTTTTCAATAAGCAACTGAAGCAAAAAAAAAAAAAACACACAAAAAAAACACAACGTTTTAAATATGTAATTTACTGGGAAAAAGTAAAGAATATACATTAAAACTCAACTTTCCGATTTCATTGCCCTTTATATCCCTTGTTCCAGAACTTTTTTGTTTGTTTGTGCTGGACGAAACTCTCTTCACATCCTGATAGCAATCAATAAGTTAAGTGGTCTAAATGTTTGTACAGTTTCACAGTCACGCAGTGCCCAAGCACAACCAAAACAATGTTTTTCTGCAAAATGCATGGAGTTTTGTAGCCTGGGAAAACCCTGACAACTTCCGGCAAATTTAGATTTGCTCTGAAAGTTAGTCTGGCAAAGAGCTCATTCAAGCCCATTTCCAATCCGTCGAAATCCGGGCGGGCTTGACACGATGACGACAGCGCTGGGATTTTGAAGCAGATTTTGTAGCCTACATTACAAAGATGGATGCTGCCGTCGAACATCACTCGTTCGAATCAGCTATCGCGTCTGTTTTAAGCGATTTGAACGTTTCCTTTTTGTTAAAAACCGAGCAAAGAACAACACTCGGAGATGTTTCTCCGCCGCTCTGCATACTTCATCTCCTTCATCGCTCTGATTGGGTTTAGGACTATCCGCGACGTCCGTTGGTGACGCCCCTCTGGAAATGATTTGTCTATTACGCTTTGCCAGACCATAACTCAGTTACAACTGAGAATGGTCTGGTTTTAACCAGGCTAGGAGTTTTTATAACAAAGGGCAAAAGCAGCCATATCACCCTGTTGCCCACTGAAGCTAAGCAGGGTTGAGCCTGGTCAGTACCAGGATGGGAAACGTCCTGGGAAAACCAGGTTGCTGCTGGAAGAGGTGTTAGTGAGGCCAGAAGGGGGTACGGCTCACCCTGTGGTCTATTTGGGTCCTAATGCCCCAGTATTAGTGACGGGGACACTATACTGTAACAAGCACCGTCCTTCGGATGAGATGTTAAACCGAGGTCCTGACTCTCTGGTCATTAAAAAAAAATCACAGGATGTCCTTCGAAAAAAAGAGTAGGGGTGGAACCCGGGCATCCTTGCCAAATTTGCCCATTGGCCTCCTTCATCCTCCTCCTAATCATCCCCATATAGTCAAGTCACCTTCATTTATATAGCGCTTTTAACAATATGTATTGTTTCAAAGCAGCTTTACAGTCATAACTGGAAATTAAAGAAACAGATTGTTTTAGTTTTACAGCACCTCTAGAATAAAGTTATTGCAGCTAAAGTTAGTTTTGATTGATTCACTTCCATTGTGAAGATCATAGTTATTATCTTAGGAGTCGCTAACATGACACCGTTGTAACAGAAACACTCTTAAATGGATAGTTTTCCCAAAAATGTAAATTCTGTCAGTAATTACTCAACCTCATGTTGTTTCAAGACTTTTGTTCATCTTCGGAACACAAATTAAGATATTTGTGATTAAATCTGAGCGCTGGATCACTCCTCCATAGGCTTCTATGGGATTGAAACTTGCTGGGCCAGGAAAGTTATGAAAGAAATCGTTAAAATAGTCCAAGTGACTATAGTGGCTAAATCTTAAGTTTATCAAGCGATGGGAATACTTTTTATGCGCTGTAGGATATCAGCTGTTAAAAATATCCAAATTTCTTTGGAGTTGCAGAAACCTGATGACATGTGTCTGATTAAAACATGGGACAAATACCAGTCCTTTGCTCTCTTTTATTTTAAGTTCGGGATGATTAAGCCCTGGGTAATTCAGACAGATGGACAGGATGAACAGGATGTACAAGATGGTCTTAAACAATTCTATAAAGGAACTCAAACTCATATAATTCATCTATACAAATATAAACAACATATATACATACTGAATCCAAACAATTAGAATAAACAAATTCAAACAGCACAATTGGCAAAACAAACTTACTTAGCGCATCTTAAGCAAAGGACTCAAAGTACATGGTGGGGTGTCCATTCAAACAACCACACCTCACCAATGCAAAAGAAACAAAGGAAGGAAGTGAGTCTTATAGACCTCGACCAAGGGGTTTATGGGTAATGTAGTGCACTAAATTTAGAAGTGTAGTTTGCTTGGAATTGTGGGATATGGAGTACAAATATATAAATATGGGTAGAAAAATGAAAGAAAAGGGCCAAATTCGCAATAGCGAAAACATAAATTTCACCTTTATTCACCTATTCATTTCTTTCTCTGTGGGCCTCGAGTCAGTTCACGTAGTGTAACTGCTTTAGCTTCTGTTGTTATACATCACACGCATCACACATGACCAGCGTCGGCAAATAGTGAGCCTACGTGTGACGTACACTGACGTGTTTGCGTACCTTATTACTTGTCTGGCCTTAAAAATGTATAATATAGAATTATTTATCACGTCCACGTAGCCACGCTAACCAAATTGTCCCGACAATTTTATCAGTACAGAGGTAAAGGGAAGGAGGCCTTCAGTGGAGAGACTATTGACACTTCAGGACTGTGTTGTCGTCGTGCCCAGGCGCTGGTCCTTCATCAGATCCTGATACGGCCTGGATAAGGCGGACTGCGGTAAACCTCGGGATAAACAGAGAGACTAATATTAGCATAGACGCCGTCCTTCTTATGATGTACCAAGTACATCAGGATTTACGGGAAGTGTTCCCGATTCCGGCTGATATAAACTATGCAGCCTAACATTAAATTATAGAATTCTATAATGTGTTATGTGTATGCTAGGCCAAATATATATGTTTTTAGTATTTGAGTACCCAGGAAAGCACTGTATAAAATGTAAAAAATATATATATATATATATAATTATTATTATTAAGTTACATAGTGTACCTTTAAAATCAAAGATGTTCATCAGTGATTGTTTATCAAGAGTAGGGACAAGTTTGTGGCATTTTGTTTTGTAATTTCACCAGAATGGAAAGAGCGTCTGCTCCTCAACTGGAGGTTTAGTTTGTATTATATACATCTGTACCACAAGACGTTTCAAAAAGAGGTGGTTATGGATTCAGTTTTTTTTTTTTTAACTTTAAAGCTGTTTTGTGAGGGAATCAACTCTTAAGTTATTTAAAAGCAGGACAAGAAGAAACACTTCATCTACAAACTAAACACAAATACATCCCCCCTCTTAAGTAAGATATGTTTGCCCAGATCAAAACACGTTTCTATAGAAAACCGACCACAGAAGTTTCAGTTTGACTAAGATGAGCTGCTAGTGTCACATTGCGAGAATGTTTCACACGCTTGCTTTGTTCTTTTTGTGCTGGTGCCTTCTGACAGGTAAGTTATAAATGTTTATATTTTTTGCTAAATATCAGTGACATTCTTCACAGCTAAGCCACATTTCATCGGTTTTAAATGATCTTAAGTTCCAGAAAATCTCAACTTTCCATGTTGTAATTACACCATTAATAACGTTTATATATCTCACCTTTCTTTAGTAAGTTAGGAGCGTTATCTGGAGTGTTATCTGGACCATCAGGAGCGTTAATCTGTAAATCTGTTTGTTCATCAGGTGTGTTTGGTGATTCAGTGTCAGTGATGGAGGGAGATTCTGTCACTCTAAACCCTCATTCTCACATACGTGAAGACGACTACATAATGTGGACATTTGGAGCTAAAAAGGCTGTCATAGCTAAACTTAATAAAAAGAAGCAAATCTTGTCCACATATGATGATGTTCCTGATGGGAGATTCAGAGACAGACTGAAACTGGACAATCAAACTGGATCTCTGACCATCACAAACACCAGAACTGAACATGCTGGAGATTATAGACTAAAAATAAATGGAGTGAAAATGACATCAAAAACATTCAATGTTTCTGTAAATGGTGAGTAGAGATCATTTGCCGAGCCCTTCAATTATTCTTGTTTTCCAAAGGAATATTCAGTTCAAATTATGTTCAATCAACAGCATTGTTGATACCAAAAATATTATCATAAAAATTATTTATTGTATTAAGACAAACTCAAGGTGAAGCGCTTGCGTCAATGCAATTGCTTAATTTAATTTTTTTTTTTTTAATTAAGGGTTTAAGAAGTTACATTGTAATGGAAATTACAAAGTTATACAATTAGATACAATTATATTTTTACTCTAAACTAGTTAACTTAACACTCTTGGCTTACGTATTTTGTCTCTATTTTTGTAACAGTTTTTGAACATTTACAGATGGACCCCATTGACTTTTCATTGTAAGCATAAGTCAATATTAATATTTTGAAAATAATCCTACAATGAATTGGTAGTAACCAATGTAGTGAAGCTAAAACTTGATTAATATGATCTAGTTTGTGTCAGTAATCTGGCAGCAGCATTTTGTATTAATTGAAGCCGTGATCAAGTGTGTTGATTTAAAATAGAAAACCGGGCGTTGCAGTAATCCAGACGAGATTAATTAAAGGCAAGGATAAGCTTCTCTATATCTTTAAAACTTAAAAACTGGCTCACCTTGGAAATATTTCGTAATTGATAAAAACATGACTCAACCTAATTCTTAACGTGATATTAAATGTTTAATAATTTTGTAGTTTGAGATAATAGAGATACTGTCATTACAGTAAACACACATTCAACACATTGATCCAAAAACACGATTTTGTTGACTAGATCTATCCAGATTTATTTTTATTTTTATATTTGTTTTCTAGCTCGTCTGCCTGTTCCTGTCATCAGCAGTAACTCTTCACACTGTTCATCATCATCATGTTCACTGGTGTGTTCATCAGTGTTGAGTGTGTGTGATGCGACTCTCTCCTGGTACGCAGGAATGAGTGTATTGTCCAGCATCAGTGTGTGTGATCTCAGCATCAGTCTCTCTCTACCTCTGGAGGTGGAATATCAGGATAAAAACACCTACAGCTGTGTGCTGAACAATCCCATCAGCAACCAGACCACACATCTGGACATCAACACACTCTGTCACACATGTGCAGGTACACAACACTGATGATATATGTGTGTGTGTGTGTGTTTACTGACCAGGGGCCTCATTTATAAACGTTGCGTACGCACAAAAGAAGGCGTACGCCGCTCTCTACGCAATAATTGGTATTCATAAAAAGCAAACTTGACGGGAAAATGTGCGGTCCTTCACGCAAGCTCTGACACAGGCGTACACACAAAAATGGGTGAAATGAGAAATGGCGACACCGTCGGCAGATGGAAGAAACACGTGAAAGTGTGTGAAAGTGTTTGAAACTGTAGACCGTTGTGTAAAAGAAATGGAAATAGGCCTACTGCCTCTCATAAATAACATGAAGACTTCACAAAGCAAGTCTTACAATTAACAGCCTACACGAACACCCGTTTGATCGATCTGCAGTGTAAAACAAACAAAATCAAACGAAGATTACAACAGAAATACAAATTAACACATATTTGCAAAAATAAAAGTGAAATATGTTATGCAATAATATTGCATGTAATGCAATTCATCCTCATAACACATAGCTTGTCAGATGCAATCAAATGGATGGTAATAAAATGCCATGATGCCTTCGCAATGCGTAATGACGTAATGCGTAATGCAACCTTTTTCCACTCAAGTGGCTTTTTTGGCATTAATATCCACACAGTGCCCTCCAAATAACATTTTACTCCCATTTTCCACCTTGCCAACGATAATTTCTACTTCACATTGAGTGAAGTTACGTTTTTTGGTTTTCCTCTCTGTTTGCGCCATGATTTCGCAATCAATGAATGTTAACTTCTGGGCATTTCACGGACTATTTATGGGCAATTATGGGTGTGACATGAAGCCGCAAAAGCTGCGCTACATTTAGAATTGATTGTGATTTATTAAGGGAAAACCGTAGGATCTGCGTGCATACGTTTTTATAAATCCGAATATTTCTGTACATACGCACGTCCTATGTTTCATCAATACGCCACTTCTGACGCAAATCCTACGCACAGTTTTATAAATGAGGCCCCTGATCTCTGTCTTCTGTTGTAGATCAGACTGATGCATTCACTTCTTTATTTATTACAGAGCTGGACACACTCTCTCCTTCTCCTTCTCCTCCTCCAGTGTCAGTGTCTCTGATAGTGTTGACCTCTGCTGGATCTCTGATGATTGTTGTTGCAGTCATTGGGATCTTCTGGTTTTGCTGGAAATGTAGAAAAACAGGTCAGGGGAGTAACCAATGAATGTATAAGGCAAAATATTTCTCTTTTTTAAAGGTACAAATTTTAACACAGGATTAAAAAACATTGTTGTTTTAACATACTGTATCTGTAATTATTGTTAATGCAGCTCAGACCCGGGAGGAAGACAGAAATAATTCAGCATCCTGTCAACAAAAAACACAAAAAATGGTAAGATCATTATGACTGTGTTGCAAGAAGTTGTTGCAATCAGTCTGATTCAAGCTTTTGTGAATAATATGCCTTAAAGGGATAGTTCACCCAAACATGAACGTTCTGTCAGTTATTACTCTCCCTCATGTTGTTCCAACCCTGTAAGACTTTCGTTCATCTTCGGAACAGAAATTAAGATATGATGAAATCTGAGAGCTGTCTCACTCCTCCAGGCTGCTATGTAATTGCATCTGCCGGCCCTGAAAAGTTAATAAAGACATTGTTAAAATAGTCCAAGTGACTACAATGGCTCAATCTTCAGTTTATAAAGCGACAAGAATACTTTTTGTGCGCTATAACGCCCCGCATAGGGGAAATCAGAAAACTCTTAAGAGGCATAATAAATAAGTTGGTTTGTGGTTGTGGAATGCCAGCAACGAATCACTCCGGTCGATAATCAAACAAATTACACAAAATGAAGCAGAAAACGCCTCTTTTCGTTATGCTTTCATGTAGAACATGGGTATAAAAAAAGAGTTCAAAAATGATGAAAAAAAGTGATAGTGGTGCACAAAAAAGGAAAAACAAACTCGAAAGGCAGAAAAGGGATGCAAAAGATTCCTAAACTAACAAACTAATTTGGTTCACTTTCATCCAGTGGTGTAGTCTACGTGATACGCAGGTAGGCCTATACGCCGTATACCCACTAAATGTCAAGGATTTCCGTATGCCCACTAGGAAATGTCAAAGATCTCCGTATACCCACTTTAAAAAGCGGGAGGATTCGTAACAACATCGTTTTGTGAAAGAACTTTCATTCATAAATTCACCCCGCCCGCCGTGCCGTCTGTGTTTGCACAGCGACAGGGATCGAATCGCGGAATCCAGCAACAAATGTAACTTAAGGTGTGTTCGACATCGGCTGCGGCTGGATGTAAGCGATCGGCGAGATTAGCCGCGTGCAGGCGAGGAGGAGCTGCAAACGGAGACGTGAAGTCGGACACGAACTGGTTCCCGTAGTGACCATTTTTAACCGGCATGCACTGCTTCAAGTCAGCCGTCGATCGGTCTGTGCAGCGCTGGTTCAAGTCGAACAAGCCTTTAGCCTACTGTAAAGCGGAACGTAACGCAATTTGGCCATTTTTGAATGAATAAATCAAAAGTAATGAAACAATGATTTAAATCTCGATATGTAGCCTACTAAGTGTCTATGAATATTAAAGCTCAAAAAGACTATTGAAATAAACTCTGAATGTTCTGCGTGTTTCTGTGAATGAGCTGGTATATCACAGTACAAAAAACTAGACTACACCACTGCTTTCATCCGTGCCCGTGGAAGACCCCGAGTGCAGCAGCAGCAGCAGCCCACAGTCAGCTTCACCCTCCTGTGAATTGAAAATAGCCTACGCACAATGGAAACAAGTCAATTTCGCAAAAACTGGTATCGTTTATCGCAAAAAAAGTTTTTGCGCTCACATACAATGTGTATTGTACATATGCAGATAATAGCTATAGTGCATATAATCAGGTATCAATCAGCTACCTATCAATATTTATTTATTTTAAAATTTATAGGCTACACGATCTGTCAAAGTAACCTACTTGTTTGACCACAACCTCAAAAGCCTGGGTTCAGCTGCACGTGCAAAACGCTGCAGTGTGAAAGCAAAACGTGTGTGTGCTGCTCCTGCTCGCCCAACGCATCCTCATCCCAAGGCGTCATATTCTGACACTTTGACAAAGCGTCTAATATGGAGCGAATTATGTGCCAAAATCTCACACACACACAAAACGTGTTTTACTCACACCCAATGATTCACAAACAAACTCAGTGTGGTTTGTAAATACAAAACATCACTCACAAACTAATGCATATTGTTCTGCAAATAAAAAACGTACATATCAAACAAATACAGTATGTTTTACATATACATAGAAACGTATTTCTTCAATGACAAAAATATCCTCCAAGTACAAACTAAAATCTTTCAAGTACAAAACAAAATTCTCCAAGTACGAGACAAAAACCTTCAAGTACAAAGCAAAATTCTACAAGTACGAAACAAAAACCTTCAAGTACAAAGCAAAATTCTACAAGCACGAAACAAAAACCTTCAAGTACAAAGCAAAATTCTACAAGCACGAAACAAAAACCTTCAAGTACAAAGCAAAATTCTACAAGTACGGAAAAACTGTCATGTGACTTTTGGCACTATTTTTCCGCGTCCAGGCAGATTTTCTTCACAAATATATCCAGGGCAGGCGGATTTTCTCACAAATGCAGTTGAGCAACTTCCTCTTCTAGTTGAGCAACTTCCTCTTCTCGAACAGTAGATGGCGCTAAGATAGGGGATCAATTTCGCGCTAGTCTCTCGGGAGAAACACTGATGTGAAACCAAGGGGGTAATCCATCGACCGGAAGTTGAAGCCTCGCGGGAGCCGCCATCTTGTAGCAGAACTTCACTTGCGTTAGCATTCCCATTGACTCCCATTCATTTAGAGAAATTACCGTACAGACAGTAGGAGAAGCTCACAGGCAATCAATGCATTAACTTAATATGGCGTACTGGCGTTACATTTTAAAATAGATACTATACAAATTACTTACTCCTGCTCACTCACGCCAAAGAACTCTTTGCTCAAGCTCGCCGTCTCTGCAAGATCAACGTTGGCAGTTTTCACGCACAGCTACTAGAATATTTACATCTGTCAGACGGGGTGCTCACGTCATCAAGCTTAGTTTGAGTCGGTTTGAGTCTGCGCGTCAGGAGCGGAAGTGCTAAAAAATCGCTAAAAATGGGCTTCAACCGTCTCAACTGAGTTCCAATGAGATGGCTCTGTCCACTTCTTATAATGTCTATGTGTGAAACGCGTGCTTGCCTTTGCCCATGGGAAAATGAGAGCTGAACAGGTGTGTTTCTGTCTTACTTTATCTATAATTAACCTTATTGAGGTTTTGGTAAATGTTTATTATATAGACAGAAATCCACATTAGCACTTAGTAGCACTCCACTCTAGGATAAGGGAATCTATAAGCTGAAAGCTCTGCCATGTTGCTTTTTAGGCTACATTTTTGTAAAAACGTTTCATTTACTGAATGAGTCTATTTCTTTCGTTCTCCATAAATTAATGAGAACATTTCATTTAATTGAAAGGAGGGTCCCACTTATTCATTAATTTAGTTGGAATTCAGTCAGCTTAACTGTTAACGTAGGCTAATAAAATAATGAATGAACAAAACAAACAATATAGGCTACAATTGTTTCTTAACTTCCCTGTGACGTATTGCCCAAATTATTATTTTGGACAGACAAAAGAAACCCTCCTTAATTTATGGAGAACGAGAGAAATAGATTCGTTCAGTGTAATCACTAATTTAGTCATTTCACACACGTCTTATGTAGATTATTATTTTTTTTATTTTTTTTAAAGCAACATATGATAGAGCTTTCAGCTTAGATTCCCCTATCCTAGAGAGAGTGAAGTGCTACTAGCGGTAATATGGATTTTTGTCTATATGTAATAAACATTTTGCAAAAGAAAGCCTCAATAAGGTTAATTAGATAAAGAAACACACCTGTTCACCGCTCATTTTCCTCAGCTGTAGGCAGTGTTGGGAAAACGTATTTCGTTACAGAATACATGCCCAAAAATGTAATTTGTAACGTTTTCCGTTGCATTACTCAATCTGAGGGATTACGTCCGCATTGAATTGCCTTTTATAAGTGTAAGAATGCGGCCATCTAATCCTGCTTACTAAGAGACTGCTCTCTGCTTAAGTAGGCTAATCCTGGCGCGTTCACTGCGAAGATCGCGAGTCAGCATTGTCACACTGACAAATACACTATCTCCTTGCTATATTTTACATATTCATAATCTTTTGCCGGTTCTTTGTGACAGCTTTAAGGTGCTATATTGGCAGTGCCACCCTACATGTTAGCCTACACGCGTCACCACCGCAAAAAATAAAATAATAAAAAAAAATTAAAAAATAATAATCTACATAAGACGCGTGTGAAATGACTAAATTAGTAATTACACTGAACGAATCTATTTCTTTCGTTCTCCATAAATTAAGGAGGGTTTCTTTTGTCTGTCCAAAATAATAATTTGGGCAAGACGTCACAGGGAAGTTAAGAAACAATTGTAGCCTATATTGTTTGTTTTGTTCATTCATTATTGTATTACATTAACAGTTAAGATGACTGAATTCCAACTAAATTAATGAATAAGTGGGACCCTCCTTTCAATTAAATGAAATGTTCTCATTAATTTATGGAGAACGAAAGAAATAGACTCATTCAGTAAATGAAACGTTTTTACAAAAATGTAGCCTAAAAAGCAACATGGCAGAGCTTTCAGCTTATAGATTCCCTTATCCTAGAGTGGAGTGCTACTAAGTGCTAATGTGGATTTCTGTCTATATAATAAACATTTACCAAAACCTCAATAAGGTTAATTATAGATAAAGTAAGGCCATGTCCACACGGACACGGGTATTTTTATAACCGGAGTTTTTCCTTATGCGTTTTTAAAAAAATCTCCGTCTACATGAAAACGCAAAAACACGCTATCAAGCGCCGTCAAGAGCATGCCACACCAGCAGGCGGCGATATAACCCTAACCGTAAAGCCACGTTGGCCAATCAGAAGCCGTCAGCGGCGCACAATCTGACGTCAAACACAGCGGATAACGGCGCACACTCTGACGTCGCAAGGCAAAAACCCCGGTTTCACTGTCTACACGACAACATGTAACCGGCGTTTCTGAAAATCCTCACCCTGGCAGGGGT